GAGAAGCTGTGGCTGCCCCTGGATCCCTGGAAGTGTCCAAGGCCAGGTTGGAGCACCCTGGGACAGTGGAAGGTGTCCTTGCCCGTGGCAGGGGGTGGCACTGGATGGGCTTTAACATCCCTTCCAACCCAAACCAATTTCACTGCCAGCCATCCAGAGGTGAGAAAGAAGAGGCAAACATGGAAATCTGCTTTTATTTCTCCTGCAGCCCCTCCATTCTGAACTATTTACCACGAGCAGGTCCAGCCTGAGCCCGGAATTACAGCGCCTTTGTCTTGGTGGTGTTTACAGCTGTAAACCAGCCAAGGATGACAAGCAATTTCCCTAAAGAGCTTAAGCACTTGCAAGCCCAGTCGCATCCACGGGAGCCCCAGGGCTCTGCAGAACAAGGCAATTCCACTGGCAACGTTCCTGCTGAGCCCCAGCTGTTTGTGCTGAACCCCCAAACCCAAGCAGGAGCCACCTCGGGGTGAAGCAGGAGCCTCGATGCAGGAGGAATAGAAAGCTCGTGGCTTTGGCTGAGCTGTAAGTCCTGCCTCGGATTTTTAGGCTCAGGGGAAATGGTTTTGGTGTTTGTTTTCCCTCTGGGAAGGCGGGAATGCTCCGTGGCTCACGGGATTTAAGGGATTAGCCAGCAGAGGTCCTGCTCAGTGTCCATCTCTTTAGCAGTTCAGGTGAGAGGGAAGCTCAGCAGGAACAGTTACAGGTACCTACAATGAACATCTTAAACAGACACCAGAAAAAAATTGAAGTTCACCCCAAGGAAGAGTTTAGCCATCAGCAGCTATAGCTGGATTCGTGGATATATAATAAAGAGCAGAGAAATCAGAGCCTGCAGCTGAAACCCTGAGCCTGAGGAGGGAAAGGGTCCTGCCAGCACCCTCCTGTCAGCCCTGAGCCCCCCCAAACTCCACCAGCTGCCTCGCAGGAATGAAATTTGCCCCTGTTCACCTGCTGTCCCCTGGGATCATGGATGGGCCTCACTGGGAAGATACTGAAAGAAAAGCAGGAAGGGCTAAGCAGCCTCATTAGCAGTTTAATTGCATTTTAAAAGTCCCTAAAAGAACTTTTGCTCAGCGAATAGCTTCTCTTTTCAATTACAGGGGAAATATCTACCTGCTCAGATAAAGGTGGGTGCCACTGGGATGCTCATTAACCTGGATCGATAATTACAGTCTTTCCTTTTGCTTCCCTCTGGAATGTCTGTCTCTGCCAGGGGATAATCCTTGAGGCAGCAGCCTTGGCTGGCAGGATGTGTCTGGAAAGGGGCAAGCTGTGTTTCTGTGGAGGAGCCAAAGCTGGGACCTGCCCTGGGCAGTGCTCCTGGAAGCCAGGCTTAGATTGGAGCGGAGAGTTTGGGAGGAGGATCTTCCCCAGCTTGTGTTTCTGGGGGGTTTAGGGTCTCTGCCCTGGCTCTGGGTGTTCTGCACAAAGTGGGGACATCCCGCTGCTCAGGGGCCCTGGGAAGGGGCAGGTTCAAGGCTCAGATTAGATAAACCAGGCACAGCATCACGGGGTTGTTGTCAGTGCTCCTGCTAGAGAAACCTGGTCTTCAGAAAGGAGAGAACACCCCTTATTCCTCCAGCCCTCTCTCAAAATGGATGGAACTCTCCCCTTCCTTTCTGCCTCTTCCCTGGCTCGGGGTTCTGCGCTTCTTTTGTCCTGATAAATCAGCCAAAATCTCCAGCACAAACCCCCCTCCCAGGACTGAACACGACTGAGCGCCTGCCTGCGCTGGGTTTTTTTGGGAGCATTTCAAAGGCTGTATCCTCTGCCTGCTGCTCTGGCAGACCCTTCCTACTGAGATGACTGAGCAGATTCATCAAAGCCCACAGTCCCAGAACTCTGAGACACCTTGAACAGTCCCTTCCTCTTTCAAGCTTCCCAGAGGCACCAGAGCGGGGAGTCCAGCGCTGCCTCTGCCTGTTCCCGCTGCAGCGAGGGAGAGGTATCAGACCCAGAGAGGATTGCTGTGCCTGCTCAGAGCTGGCATTCCTGCCAGCAGCTCGCTGCTCTCCAGCTCAAGGACTAGCGCTGAGAAAGGCACTTGGAGCCCAAACTCTCCTGGGTGGCTCCCGTGCCAAACTTGTGACTCAACACGCCCGGTTAATTCTTCCCCTCCCGGATCTCTGCGTGTTAAGGAGGGAAAGAAACGTTCTGTCGATACCTAAAATGTGATTTCACAAGCGCTTGGGGGGGGGAACAGAAAGGAAAACATCAGCCCAGGGCTCTGATGTGAAACACTGAACTCCCTCAGAGCTACTCATCAGCCATCAGAGGCGTTGTCTGCTCACACTCCTGGGCACCAAGGCACAGCACAGACCCCTCAGCAGCGCAGAGCAGCTCCTGTTCCCCCTCCAGAGCTGGAAATAGCTCTTGGAAGAGGTTTTCCACTGGAAGGGAACAGGAATGAACCACAGCTGGGCCCAGAGTATGAAACATTTAACAATTCAAGAGTCGCTCATCACCCCTCAGAGTCGTTACTCCCTTCACTCTTCCCTCCCAGGCTGTAGGAAGGCTGTATTTCCCTTTATTTACCTTTATTTATTTACCTTTATACCCTCTCTGGAAAATAAAGCATTGCCTTTACCTCCAGAAAACCAGATGGGAGCAGAGGAGCTGAGAGTGGTGGTGGTGGAAGGATGGGGGGGGGTCTCTTTATGGGGTGAAACATCCATTTGGAGGCAAATTTTGGGGACGAAAAATGCTATTTTCAAGTTTATCCTGCTGGCTTTCACGCTTTCAGAGTGCAAAGAGACGACCTCACTTCATCAGAGCAAGCAGCAGATACTGGGTGCTCCCTCCTTCTGATTCCCTTTTAACACTAAGTCCGTGCTGTGTTTGAATTTTGGCAGGGGGAATAAGATTTAGGTAAAGTTCAGTTAGTCTGGAGAAAGGGAGATGGAATCATTGTTTCCAGTTTAAAAATAAAACCCCAACCAAACAAATTAGTTTGCTGCTAATACATGTTGTAAATTCAAGCTGTTAATTGGAAAAAAAAAAAAAAAAAAACAAAAAAAAACCAGAAAGCAAACATTTCAGGGTTTTTATTTTTTTAGTGTTTGTGTCAATCTGGCACTTGGAGAACAAACAAGCTTTGATTATTTTTCATTTGAAGTGATGTTTCATTTCGAAACCTCCCTCAATTGGACTTATTAGCCAAAAAATTGATCAAGAAATGCTGGAATTGTAAGAGATTTATCCAGTTCATTTCTAAAATGGTGGGGGTTTTTTAATTATTTTTTTTCAATTCATTAATAATATGAAGATCATGGGGGTTTTTTTTCCCCCTTTTTCTCTCAGATCTCCAGCCAACCATCCAATGGCTTCTTTGCTCAGCTCACTGTGGGTTGAAAGGGAATTTCAGCCCTTGGGAAAAGGGATCAGATGAGCTGGGATAAAGTTATCTGAGCCTGCAGATCTGCCACGTTTGAGTTTATAAATCCATCCCACCCCCTGTCTGAAATAACCCAGCTTTTTGCCAGTTGTTCTTTGTAAAGTCTGAATGAAGTCAAACTGAAATTAAAATAAAACCAGAAGGGAAAAAAAAAAAAAATGGGGAGGTGGAGAGAGAATTCTCTGAGATGGAACACTTTGGGTTGAGACGCTTTATTCTGAGTAGGGGTTGGCTTGAAATAAAAAAGGAGGCTAAAAAATAAAATGAAAAGGCTCATTTGGCATCACAGATTCAACAGCAAATAGAATATTCTTCCTCTTTTTACACTTATTTTCTGAAGACAACCCTTCTCAGGCAACAAGACGCTGCAGTTGAGCCCCAAATCCCGAGAAACCAAAGACAAAAAAAAAGAAAAAACCCCACAGGTGGAGATGGGTTGTTGGTGCCAAGGGATGTCAGTGCTGCCAACACAACCCCCGTGTGTGCCCCCCCCCACTTCCAGCTCTCCTGCCCTCACACTTGCTGTGAGTTCTGCGGAGTTCCTAAAATAATCCAGATGTAAAGCAGAGCAGAATACTTGGATTGAAACCTCCCTCTCTCTGGGAACGCGAAATCTCTGCAGCACCTTCTAGCAAGTGGAGTCCTTGGCCTGGGTCCATCTGAAGGCTGGCCTGGCTGGTTGGATCTGTGTGAAGCAATTCTGGAAGGAAAACTGGGATCTGTGTCTTCTGGGGTGGCTTGTGGTGGGCTTCAGAGTCTGCAACCAAGGTCCCCTAATGCCCCCCCTGACAAACAGCAGCTTGGGAAATGTCTGCTCCCTGCAGCAGAATTGTTGGGTATTGGGAAGGAATCCTTCCCTGGGAGGGTGGGCAGGCCCTGGCACAGGTTGCCCAGAGAAGCTGTGGCTGCCCCTGGATCCCTGGAAGTGTCCAAGGCCAGGATGGAGCAACCTGGGCTGGTGGAAGGTGTCCCTGCCCATGGCAGGGGGGTGAAATGAGTGGTCTTTAAATGTCCTTTCCAACCCAAACCAGCCTGTTATCTTGGGGAAGCAGAACCACACCCATGATTTCCACAGCTTCCTAAAACATTAGGTGATAATGACAAATATCCTTGTTTTTATCCCATCCTGGGGCTCAAAGATCCTGCAGATACTCCGGTTCTGCATGTGGCAGTTGGAGGGACATTCCCAAAGACTCATGAAGGGACAACTTCTGGACCTGAAGAGGCACCTGCTCCCAGGAGAGAGAATTTTCAGTGAAGTCCTCTGCAGTTGCCATCAGTGTTCATTCACTGCCAGGATCACTTGCAAAAGACCTGGATAAATATTCCAGCTTTTCAAGGGGAGCCTTTTAGCCCATCCCAAAGCGTGAGCTGAAGTGCAAGCAGCCTGTTATACCCTGACAGCTCACAAGAGGAGACCCAGCCACCCTGAGCAGCTCATCCTGCAACCCACACAGGACCAGGGATGCTGCAGGGGGAAGGGACAGCCTGACCTGGAGAACCTGGCCCAGAACCAGCCAGATCTCACCACCAAGAAGCCACACAGGAGGTGCCTCCCCCCCGAGGGGGGAACCAGTTCCTCTCTCTGCCCGCCACTGCATCGTCACCCCGAGGCCACCACGACTGGAGACGCCACCACAGCTGTGGAAAGGAGGGACTCAGGGGGTGCACTCAGGAGTGTTGCAGGCTCTGCAACTCCAGGGCCACGTGGGCCAGAAGAAATGATGGCGAGGGAGCGCGTCTGAGAAGTTTCGAGGCGCTGATTTCCAGCGTGTCGTGCAGCTCTTCTGCCAGCTGGTGGGGGAGGCCTCACTTTTGACATTGGACACTCTTAGGTATTTTTTAACCCAGAGAGGAAAAACTGGTTCAGGGAGTGGGGGAAAGATGGCATCCAAGTGCTGTCTGCAATCCAAAACTGGGTCTAAGGTTCTCTCCTCAAAGCACGGGCTGTGAACTGATTCTTCACAGGACCATGAGGGATTCAGTGCTGGGGGTGCTCTCCTCCTGCTGCAGCCACTCCTGAACCACTGTCCTCTTCTTACAGGCACTGACTGAGCAGGTGGCACCTCCTGGGCAAGGCCTGTGGTGGAGATACCCACAGGGAGTGACATCCCTCTTTGGGATGGCTGGTCCAAGCTCGGGGTGGTGCCAAGTATCGGGTTCAATGCTCCTCCTCCTCCTCCTCCCTGCATGGCCACACCACTTAGCTGTGGTGTTTGGTGGTTCATGTTACTCCCATCCAGTGGCAGCTGTGGAGAAAGGAAACACATGACACTGACAGAATCCTTGCTCCTCCCATGCCAACATCCCCTTCTGCCTGGTTTTTTGGGGGGGGGTTAAAAGGGTCGTGATCTCCTTTCCCTTCACCATAAAGAGCTTTGCTGCTTCCCTTCCATCTCTTCTACCTCGCCTTCCCCTTGCCCTCCACGGAGAACAACATTCCAAAGGCTCAGGCTGAACTTGCTGGTGCTTGGGCACCACCACGGAGCTCTGGGCTGGCAAATCAAGGAGGGGCTTGTCCCTGGGATGTGTTATTGTGGGGAGGGGATTTCCCACACAGCACAAATTACCCACACTCTGCCCTTCAGCCCCTCAGTCAGCACCTCCCTGACGGGCCAAGAGCTGCACAAGAGCTGAACCTTCTGGAGGAGGTGGAGAGGTTGGCTGCCTACTGCCTCGAGCATCTGCTGAGGGGGTGTTTGGCTGTTCCTGCCAGGAGCAAAAGCTGCTCTGCCTGGACCTGTTAAAAAAAGAGCAAGTCTGGCTGTAAATAGGCATTTCCCCACGATTGCACCGCTCGGGAACGTCACGGAGGAGGAGGGCACTGCTCACCACCAGCACACGTGCAGAGAGAGAAGGGGGACTATCCTGAGGGGAAAACTGAAAGGGATCAGACTTATTCCCGATCATTTATTTGCCCCAAATGAACATGACAAGGGGGTGAAGCTCTAACTTCACACTCACTTCTTGTGTGGGTACAACAAGGTCAATCCTAAGGAGTTTTCCTTCAGTGAGAAAAAACAAGAGCAATCCAATGTAGAGTTCCTTCAAGGAGAAGGTCCTGCCAGCAAAGCTGAGAGTCCCCCCACCACCTCTGAGGCAGCAGATGACACCCTGCACTGGTGCAGTCACTTTGAAAAGGCTGGGAAAGGACAACTGGGAGACCCTTTGAAAGGTTCCCGCTGCCTGTGCTTGTGCTCAGGGTGGTATCGGAGAGGAGGAGAGCAGTAGGAGTTCTCTTGGATCATCAGTGTTGGAGGACAATCAAAGCAAGGCTGGAAAGGTGTTTTTCTACAGCTCATTAACTTCAGAGGATGGGAAATTGCCTCCCTGTTCTTCCTGGCAGGCTGCTGATGTCATGCAGTTGGTCCTGACGTGGCAGAGGTCCCAAAGAGGGTGAAAGATTCCCAAAGGGGCCCAGAGCCCTGAGTCATCCTCCTCTGGTGGGGAACAGCGATCCAGGCGTTGATCTGGCTGTGGAGAGGTGGGAAGGCTGCCAAAATAGCAGGAACTGCCATTGCTGGGGCAGAGTCTGCTCTCGAGACGGATGATGGTCCATCCCTCACCTCGCCTGGGAAGTCAGATGAGTCTGAGGCTGAAGAGTGGGAAGGGGGTGAATTGACAATTGTGACAGGAATCCCCCCTGCCCTCCCCAGCCAAGCTTTCTTTGGGAAAGCTTGTCAGGTACTTCCCTGCCCCAAAAACCTGGCCGTGGGTGGTGATGGAGGTGAGGGACTTTACCACCTTCTCCCGCTCTTCTGCAGAGAGCAGCCAGTGAGTGGTCACCAGCACTGACACGAGAGGGCTATGGCATCATCTGTGGCCACCATGAAGCTCCCAAACCTGTGACACTGCAGGCACCCTGCCCAGATTTTATCTGCAGTGGCACAGCTCCTCTGGATGGGCACCTGCTCTGTATGTGTCACTCAGGTGACCAAGAAGGGAGGGAGGTGGCAGCTAAATAAAATGCCTGGCATTGCCCTCCCGCACTCTGAGGTTGAGTTTGTCCTCTCAGCTCCCCCAGGCAGGAGCTGTGGGCTCTGGGCCAGCTCTGCTGTCCGTGGTGCTCCGGAGTGGCTGATGCTGCTCTGCCGTCCGTGGTTGGTCTTGTGCAACTCAGCAAACGAGGGCGTTTCCCGGGAAACTTTGCAGTGGCCCCACTCCTGGGCTCGGGTTCTTCCTGCGCTCCAGCTGGGAAAGAATCCTTGCTATTTTTAGCTCTGAGGTGTTGGCAGGAAATGCAGAGGATGGATCTGCATCCCCCAGCGCAGCCCCTACCGCCGGGCCTGCACCCCCTCCTGCCTCTGCCAAGGATTTACACACCCTGGTGCTTCATCTGGTGCCCTTCTCCCCTGCCAGCCACGCTCCCAAATCCAGGCCAGGTGGAGGAATAGAAAAGGTTTTCCATAAGAAAGTGCTGAGGGATTGAGAATGCTTGAGGTAGGCTGTGCTCACTAATATCTGCATTTAAAGCCTGCAGTGTTTATTCTACCAATTTCCTCTTTTCTTTTTTTTTTTTTTTTTATATTCCCTTCTGAATTTTATTTTCTAACAGGGAAAAAAATCATTTTCAAGGTCATGGGCAGGTTATGTTTTAAGGCTTTTGCAGTGGATAGCTCCAGGCTGGGTTAAAATTCCCTTAATGATCGTAGCCTGTCTTGACTGGGATTCATTTCTCCTGCAATCTTTATCTCGTAGCTCCCTGGATCCTGTCAGAGGCTGCTGCTGATGTGGCACAGCACCAAAGGCAGCAGACACTTTTCTCAGTCTTTTTTTTTCCTTTTTTTTTTTTTTTCTTTTCCAACTACAGGAGTGGTTTGTTGCCTCTTTTTGTCTTCCTCCCTCTGTTTTCTTCCAGCTGACAGAAATGAGCTGCTGAGCTCTGCACTCAGGACAGGGGTGAAAATGCAGCAATCCTTTATTCCAGGGGAAACTGGGGACGTTCTTTGTGCATTAGAAACACTCAGCCCTCTTTTTCCAGTCTGACAGATTCCTTTGCACTGGCTCACTGTGTGCCATCGGCGTCATCTTTCAAGTTATGACCTCAAAATTGGGGCTAAAGCATCTCCCCCCCCCTTTTGTGGGATGCAAACCCAAGGACTTGACTAAGTTCAGGAATTAAAGAGCTGTGGAGTTGTGCTGTGGGAAAATCAACTTTAAATGTGGAGCAAACACACTGAGCCTCCCTCCATGGCACCTGCAGCTCCAACCCAACCAGCAGCTCCCATCCCAAACTGCTCTGATCCCAGAGCCACAGTCTCCAGCTGGGAAAAAAAAAATGCCTTTGGAGAGGAGAAAGATGCTGTACACCAATAAATAATGGGAAGTGATGATCCTGTCTGGGGGCTATCGGGGAGGTAGAGCTACAAATTCAATGTACAGGCACAATTTACATCCCTGGAGCCAAGTACATGAAAGGACCTACAAGTAAATTAATGCCTGCTGAAAGGTTGGGGCCTCTCAGGGGACAGCCAGGGACACACTTTGGCTTCTCTCTAGATTTAAGGCCTTGACTTAATAGACTTTATCTCCACTCTCCTGCTTTTAAGAGGGGCAGATGACCCTGTATTTTGCAAGGACAGAGGAAAGCACAGATATTCTGTATTAACTAAGGCCTGGAAGCAAAAGCACTGGAGAATGGGATGTGGTGGACAGTCACTGCATGGGACAGCTGCCAGCCCTGCTCAAGGTCCCTCAGGCACTGTCACCTCTGGGGTGGCAGCAGGTGCCATCTGAGGTATGTTCAGCCAGAAATTACTCGTGAGCACCACTGAGAGCTCCCCAAGCAGCAACTCCAAACACTGGATCCATCTTCCCCCTCTGGCCACACTGAAGTTATTCCTCTGCTGGGATTTCTCCCCTCTTGGGCTTTGGGTCCCTCCCAGACTGTGGGGAGCATCAGGATCATCTGTCTAACCTGTCTCACAGAATGGCTCAGGTTGGAAGGGGCCACAGTGGCTCAGCTGGTGGCACCTCCCTGCCCCAACAGGGTCACCCCAGGGCAAAGAGCTGCTTTTCCCTACCCCCTGTGCCAGTTTTCATCCCACTGGCTTTGCTGGGGCACACTCTTGTGATTACAAGTGATTTATGTGCTCAAGGGCTCTCTAAACTTTCCCACTGAAGATTGTATTTCCCTCCCACCCCCTTTGGCTTTGACGAGTTAGTCCCAGCAGCAAACCAGGTGGGTCAATAATGATCCAATAACGGGCAAACAGCCCCTCCCAGGAATTGTTCTCACTGCTCTGGCATTGTCACTAGTGAAGATTTACTGCCAGGACAGTGTCACCCGGGTGTTGCCAGAGGAGCAGCAGCCTCAGGAAGGCTGAGATATCCATTTTTTGCCCCTGGAATCAGAATTTCTCCACGTGCAAGTGCAGCACCGTTTTTCTGTGCCTGTTTGAAACGCTTTGCCTTGATCTGCCTTTGCCTTTCTGCTCAGTCCCAGCTGATGTCCTATACATGTCCCCAGGCCAGTGCCAACCCCTGTCCCTTCCTCCTCTCTTTTCCAGCTGGAGTTCCCATCACACAGCAGAAATTACACAAGCATAAGCACAGTCATGAAACACAGAAGGAGAGGATGAGGCTGTTTCTGAATTCAGCACCAATCATGCAGGCTGTGGGGGTAATGTGATGGTGTTCTGTATCTCGGTTGTGAGGGAGCTGCTGGTGTTGAATATTATCCTGCTCCTGTAGTACAGGAGGGAATTCATACCTAGACCTGTGCTAGCACATCAATTTACAGCGTGTGCACAGCCTGCCCTTCACTCACTTGCACTCTGCATCCTCCAGTCGATTCAGAGAGTGAATAAAAACCACAGGAGAATTCAGAGACCTGATTCCCCTCCACGATGCATCCGTGCTGAGCTCCGAAATAAAAGCAGAAAGTAGCCTTGTTAATGTTAACTCCTCTGGAACTCTCAGTGCAATGGCTTTGTCTTTAATGCTTTCTCTCCCATGAGCCAAAAAAAAAAAAAAATAAATAAAATCCACCCCTTTTAATATAAATCACGGAATTGTCAAGGTGGGAAAACAGCTTGAAGATCACCAAGTCCACACATCAGCCAGCACCACCACCACGGTCACCACTAAATCACGACCTCCAGTGCCACATCCACATGTTTATTGAACCATTCCAAGCCTGGTGACTCCACCACTGCCCTGGGCAGCTGTGCCAGGGCTGGACAACCCTTTCCCTTGAAGAAGTTTTTTTCCTAAAACCCAACTAACCCCCCTCCATGGAGCAGCTCTG